CCTTCACACCCTTCCTCCATTACCCCCTCCACACCCCTCCTCCATTCCCCCTTCCACACCCCTCCTCAAATACCCTCCACACCCCCTCCTCCATTCCACCCACATCCCTCCTCCTCCCTCCACGCCCCTCCTCCCACATCCATCCTCCATTTCCCTCTCCCACCCTCCTCCATTCTCCCCCTGCCACACACCCCCCTCCTCAATTCCCTCCCACATCCCTCCTCCATTTCCCTCTGCCACACTCCTCCTCCATTACCCCCTCCACACCCCTCCATTCCCCTTCTCCCACACCTCCTCAACTACCCTCCACACCCCCTCTCCATTCCACTCCACATCCCTCCCTCCCTCCCCTCCACGCCCTCCTCCCACATCCATTCTCCAATCCCCCCTTCCACACCCTCCTCCATTCTCCCCCCTGCCACACCCCCTCCTCACATCCCCCTCCATACCCATCCTCCATCCTCCCTCCACACCACTGCCCTTCCCATCCACACCCCTCCTCCCTCCACCCCCCAGCTCCCTCCACCTCCTTTCCTCCCACACCCTTCCTCCATCCCCCTACCCCACCCCTCCTGCATCCCCATACTCTTTCCTCCATTTCCTCCACACCCCTCCTCCATTCCCCCTTCCACACCCCTCCTTCATTTCCCCCACATCCCTCCTCCATTCCCCTTCCACACCCACCCTCCCAACTCTCCACACCCCTCCTCATTCTCTTCCACATCTTTTCTCCATTTCCTCCATACCCAACCTCCATTCCCCCTTCCATACTCCTCCTCCATTCTCCCTTCCACACCTCTCCCCATTCCCCTCCACACCCTCCCTCCATTACCCCTTCCACACCCCCATTCCCCCGTCCACACCTCTCCTCCATTCTCCCATCCACACCCCTCCTCCATTCCCCTCCCACACCATTCCTCCATTCTCCCACACCTCTCCCTCCCCACACCCTCCCTCCCACACCCCCTCCTCCATTCCCTCCCCACACCCCTCCTCCATTCCTCCCTCCCACACCCCTCCTCCATTCTTCCCTCCTCCACACCTCCCTCCATTCCCCCACCAACACCCCTCCTAATACCTCTCCACACCCTCCTCCATTCCCTCCACACCCCTCCTCCATTCCCCCTTCCACACCCCCTCCAATTCTCCACACCTTTCCTCCAATTCCCTCCACACCCCTCCTCCATTCCCCTTCCACACCCCCCCTCCCTTCATTCTCCCACACCCCTCCCTCCATTCCCTTCCACACCCCACCACCCTCCTCCACACCCCTCCTCCACCTCCACACCCCTCCCCATTCCCCATCCACACCTCTCCTCCATTTCCCTCCACACCCCTCCCTATTCCCCCTTCCACACCCTCCTCCATTTTCCCTTCACACCCCTCCTCCATTCTTTCCACACCCTTCCTCCATTCCCCTCCTCCATTCCCTCCATTCCCCTTCCACACCCCTCCTCCACCCTCCTCCACAACCCTCCTCCAATTCCTCCACACCCCTCCCCCATTCCCCCATCCACACTCTCCTCCATTCCCCCATCCACACCCCCTCTCCATTCCCTCTCCACACCCTCCTCCATTTTCACACTCCTCCATTCGCCCCTACATACAGTATGTACATACATACATACATACATACATACATACATACATACATACATACATACATACATACATACATAGACGTACGCTGAAGTAGTTTACATAGGTAGACGAATAAGTTGATCTGTTTCTTATGATGAATATATTCAGAAGAAGAAGTAGATTATTTTATTGATGGGACCCGTCAAGAACCGTCCGTGTGTTATATGACCTTCAAACTCTCGCCTCCGTCTCCTCCCCGGACTGTCAACCTTTTTATACGCGCGGTGACTCGGTCCTCTCGTTAACATAAAGGAACCATATCTCTAAAAACCCGCGTCTGTTTATCGGAATTACCGGACGAATAACCCGGAGGCCCATGGTCGTTTATTCTAAATTGAAAGCTATTTATACGAGGAACCTAACCGTTTAGCAGAGGCAGTTGGAGGAACGTTAATAGTCACCACACACAGAGAGAGAGAGAGAGAGAGAGAGAGAGAGAGAGAGAGAGAGAGAGAGAGAGAGAGAGAGAGAGAGAGGTCACACTCTTCTCAGTTCAATATTTACATACATAATTGGCCGTGTATTACCATATTACATTTTTTTCGTTTACCTAAAACATGTTTTACAAGATCGGCCATTTGTCATCCACAGTAATAAGTATGTGAGACAGTCTTTATCAACACAGTAGAGTATGATGAATTGTTCCATATGCCGTGAGGGGTTCATATTTAACTCTGACACGGGAACACCATGTCCTCAGGGCTAGTAGACATGATCGCCGTCCTTTTTTACTGTTATTTGAACCTGGAATTTATTAACATGTATAAAAATTGCTTAGAATGATTGAAAATCGGTAAGTGACCAAGAAGGGAAGTCTCCGTTTGTTTCCCCCCTCTCTTCCTGAAGCGACGTGTGACGCTTACAAGCTAAGGATTGTTTTTGTTGTGACGTCATCCTTATAGCCTTGGGTTAACACACACACACACACACACACACACACACACACACACACACACACACACACACACACACACACACACACACACACACACATTTGTTTGTGATGATCATATGTATTATGACTGATACAAGAATTCCCTTATCCCCTGTGGTGACTTTTGCATTACTAAAGTAAACTTATGGATTAATCCGTAGTCGTCTTGTAACATAAGAACATAAGAACATAAGAAAATAAGGAGTCTGCAATAGGCCGGTTGGCCTGTGCATGGCAGCTCCTGTCGAGAGTTACTACCACTCTCTATCATCCATGAATCTATCCAGTCTCCTTTTGAAACTTTCCAGCGTTCCAGCACTAACTACATAGTTGCTAAGCTTGTTCCACTGGTCCACCACCCTATTTGTGAACCAGTTCCATCCTATCTCCCTCCTAAACCTAAACTTATCCAACTTAAATTCGTTGGTTCGAGTCCTATCCTGCTCGGATATTATAAGAACTTTATCTATATCCCCTTTATTGATTCCTTTCACCCACTTAAATACTTCTATCATATCTCCCCGCGCTCTTCGTCTTTCTAGGGAATGCAAGTTTAGTTTCTTTAACCTATCCTGATATGGAAGGTTTCTAAGTCCCGGAATTATTTTCGTCATTCTTCGCTGCACCGACTCTAGTGAATTGATATCCATTCTATAATAAGGGCACCAGAACTGAACCGCATAATCGAAGTGCGGCCTGACTAGCGCAAGATATAGTTGCATTAAGACCTCTGCACTCTTATTACTTACACTTCTAGATATAATACCCAATACTCTGTTTGCCTTATTTCGAACATTAACGCGCTGTTTTCTAGGCCGTAGGTCCGGGCTTACAAGTACCCCTAGGTCTCTTTCACAAATCGACTTCTCTAGGTTAATGTTGTTAAGGCTGTATACATTGACAGTATTTGTTCTTCCAATATTAAGTACGCTGCATTTACTGGTGTTGAATATCATTTGCCATTTTTCTGACCACTCCTGCAGTTTATTTAAATCCTCCTGTTGTGCATTTTCATCCTACCCGGAATTAATCTGCCGCCATATTTTGGCGTCATCCGCAAATTTGCTTATGTCACTGCTGATCCCAGTATCTAGATCGTTTATGTAGATTATGAACAAGAGTGGGCCTAGTACTGACCCCTGGGGAACCCCACTGGTTACACAGCCCCACTCAGATTTAACACCATCTACGCTGACCATTTGTGTTCTCCCGGTGGTCTTCCCAGGGCCCTGCCAGGAGCGATGTCGCCCCCAGTGGTCTTCCCAGAGGCAGTTGCGCCCACAGAGGCCTCCCAGGGGCGGTGGCTCCCCCAGGGGCATTCTCAGGGGCGGTGGCGCCCCCAAAAGCCATCCCAAGGGCGGTGGCGTCTCCAGGGGCCGTTACAGGGGCAACGGCGCCTCCAGTGGACCTCCCAGAGGCGGTGAGGCCCCGAGGGGCCCTTCCAGCGACAGTGGAGTTCCCCAGGGGACTTCCCAGGGGTGGTGATGCCCCCCAAGGGCCCACCCAGGGGCGACGTCGCCCTCAGAGGCTCTCCTTAGGGGCGGCGGCGGTGCTTGGGGTCCTCCCAGGGACGGTGGAGGCCCTCCCAGGGTCCTGCCAGGGGCGGTGGCACCCCGGGATCATACCAAGGGCAACGGCGCCCCTAGGGGCCCTCCCAGAGGCAACACCGCCCCGAAGTGACATCCCAGGGCGGTAGCGCCTCAGGGGCCCTTAGAATGGCATCTGCAGCCCCAGGTGCCCTCTCAGAGGCGGTGGTACCCCCAGGGGCTCTACTTAGAGGCGGTGGCGCCTCCAGGGGCACTCCCAGAGGCAGCAGCCCACAGAGGTGGCGGCACCAGGGACCTTCCCAGGGGTGGCGGCGTACCCAGGGGCCCTGTCTGAGACAGTGGCGCCCCCAGGTGCCCTTCCAGGGGCATATGCGATCCCAGGGGCGGTAGCGTCTCCAAGGGCCCTCCCAGGGGCGGCTGCGCCCTCAGGGGCCCTCCTTAGGGGTGGCGACGACCCTAGAGGCCCTCCCATGGGCCGGGGCGCCCCAGAATACTTCCGAAGGATGGTAGCTCCCCCAGGGGCCCTCCTAAGGGCGACGACGCCCCCAGGGGCCCTCCAAGGGGTAGCGGCGCCCTCAGAGGACCTCCCAGGGGCCTTTCCAGGGAAGATGGAGCCCCCAGGGGACCTCTCAGGGCAGCGGCGCTCGTAGGGGGCTTCGCAGGGGCGGTGGCGCCCCCAGGGGCCCTCCCAGGGGTATCTTTGATCCAAGGGGCCCTGTCAGAGGCGGTGGCGTCCCCTGGGGGCGGCCACGCCCCAGGGGCTCTCTTTAGGGGCAGCCGTGCCCCCCAGGGGCCCTAACAGAGACGGTGGCGCTCCAAGGGGCCCACCTTCAGGGAAGCGGCGCCTCCAGCGTTATTCCCAAGGGAGGCTGCGATCTTCAGGGTCCTCGCAGGGGCGGTGGCGCACCCGGGGGCCCTCCTAGGGCCCTGCCAGAGGCGGTGGCGCCGACAGGGGCCCTCCAAGGAACGGTGACGCCCCCAGGGGCGGCAGTGGTGCCCCGAAGGGAACTCCCAGGTGCGACGGCGCCCCCAGAGGCTCGCCTTAGGGGTGGTGGCGCTTCTAGGGGTCCTCCCAGGGGCTGTGGCGCCCCCAGGGGCCTTCCCAAGAGCGGTGGCGCCGTCAGTGGGTATCCCAGGGGTGATGGTACTCCCAGGGGCCCATCCTGGGGCGGTGGCGCCGCAGGGGACCATTTATGGGGCGGTGGTGCCCCAAGGGACCCTCCCAGGGGCAACAGGGCCCTCAGTGGACCTCCCAGAGGCGGAGGAGCCTCCAGGGGCATTTCCAGGCGCGGTGGTGCTCCCAGGGACCCGCCCAGAGGCGGTGGAGCCCCCCAGGGGATTTCCCAGGGGCAGTGATACCCCCAGGGGCCCACCCATGGGCGTCGGCGCCCCCAAAGGCTCTCTTAGGGGTCCTCACACGGACGGTGGCGTACCCGGGGGCCCTTTAGGGCCCTGTCAAAAGCGGTGGCGCCCCAGGGACCTTTCCAGGGGCGGTGGCGCCCACAGAGGCCCTACCAGGGGCATCTGCCACCAGGGCCCCATCCAGGGGCGGTGGCGCCCTCAGGGGCCTTCTCAGGGGCGCTGGCGCCCAGGCTATCACAGGAGCCGTGGCACCCCCAGGGAGCCTTCCAGGGGCGGTGGCGCCGCCACGGGCCCCCCAATGGGCAACAACGCCCCAATGGGCCCTCCTAGAGGCAACAGCACCTCCAGTGGACCTCCCAGAGGCGGTGGCGCTCCCAGGGGCCCTTACAGGTGCTGTGGCCCCCCAGTGTTCTCCAAGGGTCAGCGCCCCTGGGAAACTCCCAGGGGCAGTGGTGCCCCAGGGTCTCCTAGGGGCAGCAGAGTCTCCCAAGGGCCTTTCCAGGGCGTGACCTCCAGGGCCCACCTGGGCGACGGCACCAATAGGGAATTTCTGAGAAAGCCCCCAGGGGCCTTTCCAGCAGCAGTTGTGCCCTCAGCGGCGTTCCAGGAACAGCGGCGCCTTCAAGGAACCTCCCAGGGGCGGTGACTGGGGTTCTCCCCAGGAACAGCGGGCCCCCTCGGGGGGAGCCCTGGGGGCCTCCAGGGCAGTGGCTCTCAAGGACCCTGCCAGGAGCAGGTGGCGTCCTCAAGGGCCCTGGGCGTGGCTCCCAAGAGGTCATCACATGGGCAGCAGTGTCCCCAAGGGGCCCTTCCAGAGCAACAGTGCTCCCCAACGGACCTCCCAGGGCGGTGGCGCCCCCAGGGGATCTGCAGGGGCAGTGATGCCTCCAGGGGCCTACCCAAGGCGACGGCTCCCCTAGGGGCTCTCCTTAGGGGTGGCGTGCTCCTAGGTGTCCTCCCATCGACGGTGCTCAGGGTCCTCCAAGGGCCCTGCTAGTGCATTGGCACCCCAGGGGCTATCCTATGGCCGATGGAACCCCCAGGAGCCCTTCCAGAGGCGGTGGCGCCCCTAAGGCCTCTCCAGGGGTGGTGACGCCTCAGGGGACCTCCGAGGGCGACGGCACCCCTAGGGGGCCTTAGGGGACAGCGCCCCCAGGGCCTTCTCAGGGACATCGGCGCCTCAGGGACTCTCCCAGGGGCAGGTGGTGCTCCAACAGTTCTCCTAAGGGGTAGCGGGTCCCCAAGGGCCTTTCCAGGGGCAGTGGCACCCTCAGGGTCCTTCTAGAGGTGGTTGCGCCCATAGGGGCTCTCCTTAGGGGCAGCGCCTGGGGCATTCACAGGGGTGGCGGCGGTCATGGGGTCTTCCCAGGGGCGGTGGCGTCTGAAAGCTCTCCAAGGGGCAGTGGTGCCCTCAGGGTCCTGCTAGTAGCGGTGGCTTAAATAGGCCCTTGCTGGGGCAGTGGCGTCTCCAGGGGCCTTCCCTGGAGCGGTGGCGCCCCAAGGAGCCATTCAAGGGCAGCAGTGCTCCCAAGGGCCCTCAGAGACAGCACCCCAGTGGACCACCGTGAGGCAGTGGCGGGTGGTGCCCCTGGGACCCGCCAGAGACCGTGGAGTCCCCAGAGAACTTTGCAAGGGCGTTGATGAGGCGCCCAGGTGACGACCCCCAGAGGCTCTCCTTGGGGAGGTGACGCCCCGAGGACCTGCCTTCGTCTTCTGGAAGCCATTTTTCAGCGTTGTTTTGGCTTCATGACTTTTTAAATGGCAGGCTTGGCTTTGGCTCCATGTCTGGTAACAAAAATATTACAGCACACATTACTGAATAGGAACAGTATTAGGAATGGTGTTAACAAAGTGCATGATTTTTTCTTGCCTTTGTTCGTTCGTTCTTTATTTGTTAAAATGTTAAATGTTTTGTTTTATTTCCACAGCGGGGTTGAAGAAGAATGTGATGGTGAAACAGACGTAGCCCATGGTCTCAGGCACCAGTTAGAAGGTGGGTAAGTCGCCGAGATAACGCAGAGACAGGTGCGCTCCCATGGCGGGAGCCTCGCCAAAATCAAGTCCTCGCGGTTCCCAGACAAGCAACCCTCCTCTCGCCACATAGAGGCGCAATGCGGCACGACCAGAA